AAATGTTCCAGAATCTGAGAGGGTTATAAAAACAAGTTTTTCTCCCCCCACCTCCATCCACGCTACAATCAGCTTTCTGTTACTGTCACAAATACCTGCAATAATCAACTTGTAAAGAGAAAATGTTGATTTGGGCTCACAGTACTAGAGATCCAGTCTGTGTTGGGTTGGCCCTGTTACTTTGGGCCTATGGTGAGGCAGCACATCATGGTGGGAGTCCATGTGGAATAAAACTGCTCACCCCATCACCAGCGAGCAAAGAGAAAGAGGAGGAGGCCAGGGTCTCCTTCAAGAGCATCCCCAGGACCCAAAGCCCTCCCATAGGACTCCATCTTTTAATGGCTCTACCATCTCCCAATAGTGCCACCCTGGGGACCAAGCCTTTAACACATGGACCTCAGATCAGAGCAGCACATCCTCCTGACAAGCCCTGCCTGTGCTTCACATCATCTGTGCTGGAGATCCCAGGGTGCTGGGCTTACCCTGTGCAGAGCCTTGTTGTCTTCTGGGAGAGGGAAAGGAGAACATGGTGAATCATGCACTAACTCCTAAGGCCTCCTCACACACTGGATTAGTCACCACAGGTTATGTAGCCAATCCTGACATCAATGGGGCAGGGAAATATAATCTTCCCCTGGGGAAGGGCAGCAGATATTGTGAACAATAGTATGAGTGATGACATTATGCTTTTTTGTTGTTGTTGTTTATATCCTGGGGACCGAAGAAGAGAAAAAGCTTTCTTTATATGGCAGCTTTACCCAAAGTTGCCTAGAATTAGGGTAAGTTGGGGGCCTTTCAAAATGCCTTGTAGACCAAGGATCTGGATTCCCATGGATGTTGGCCCCTAGCCCCATGGCTTTCATGTGCAGAATAGCTGCCGTTCCTCTTTCTCTGCCAGCAATTTGAGTCCCCCAAGTTGCTCAGGGAGAGATTTGACTGGGGAGACTGTCTTTTCTAGAGTTTGCTCCTCAACATCCCACACCTTCTGGGGCCTTTGTAAATTCATTTTCTTGACTTCCGGCTTTAGTTGAACCACTTTCGTTTTTCCTTCCTAGCTGTCTTCTGGGGAGACATTGCTTTGGATGAAGATGATCTGAAGTTATTTCACATCGACAAGGCCCAAGACTGGACCAAGCCATCAGTGGAGGAGTCGGGTCATAGCACGGGTAAGTACTGATTCCCATTCTCCTGCCCCAGCTGGCAGGGATGGGGGCTCCAGCATGTCTGACTGTAGGTCCAGGGAAAGCCAGGGACAGGTTACCCATCCTTCTCTAGGGAAGAAGTGCAGTGGGGCCTCCAAGTTGGCGGGTTCTTCTAAGATGTCTCCATTTGCCTCTTT